TTGTTTGTATTGGTACAGTCACGCCTTGGTACTCGTCAGCTTCAGAACTCGTCAAACCCTGTACGTGCCGCATTTCTTTGAGAAAAAAATGTTGAGCACTGGGCATTTGCTCAGGACTTGCTAAAACTAGTATGAGTCATGACGCTGCCCTGAAAGAGAAAGTTCCTTTGGTACCTGTCAGTTTCAGTGCTCTTCATGAATTCCGGAAGGAATTACCATGAGTACCGAGGTACCACTTGTACTGCTCATACAAGGTTCCTGGGAAAAGGTGTTCCAACAAATGCTGCTTCTTTAGAGCAGTGCTGAGGGGCTGTGTCAGAGCCATCCTTCAGAGGGACTGCGGGAGAGAGACTAATGCGTGCTCGGCCTCTGCCCAGAGAAGCCACCCTGCGTCTTTTCATGCTATCCTTCCTCTTCTTCCTGTGCTTTATTTACCTTAAAGTGATTTTGAAACTTTGTTAAGGAAAGAAAAGGGCCACTCAAAAGAGAGGTTTGATGCTTACAACCAGTCAATGAATAGGCAAAAGACAAGGATTCAAATTAATCACTCTGTCAGTTCTAAAGAGACAGAAGGTAGGTGAGCTCCTTCTTGTCAGTCAAGGATAGAATAGACAGGTTATGATGGGGAACACGTATGCTGCTGGGGTTCCTCCAACTCCCACTGTTGAGACGACCTGGTCTCAACCAGCAGTTTCCCTTTGACTCATTAGTAATACTGTGGGAATGCTAGCTATGTGTCTATCTTCTGGAAATCTAAACATATCTAAACTGTACTAAGAATGGAAAGAGAAAAACCCAGCACCTTCGGTGGGCACTGCCTATTAAATGGCTGATGCCCATTTTACAATGTGATGATTCGATACATGTTGATATTGCAAAATGATTGCCACCATAAGGTTAGGTAAGTTCCATCTCTTTATATAACTTTTTTTGTGCTAATGACATTTAAGATAAACTCTCTTAACAACTTTCAAGTATATAGTACGGTGTTGTTAACTGCAGTCACGGTGTTGCACGTTAGACCCCTGTTCTTATTTTCTTACTGCTGAGAGTTTGTACCCGGTGCCTGGTCCACCTTTATAGTCAGTCGCCTTACGCGCAGTCATCTACCCCGTCCGCCACCCCTCCCCAGGTGAGCTCTTCTAGCAAAATTTGCCACTGCTTAAAATCTCTCTGCTGACTCCACGCGTCCACCCATGGCTGCACCCAAGCAGCTGAATGTGGCCGGGGAAGAGCGCACGAGCATCTCAACCCGCCTCCCTTTAACTGATGCAGGCACATCCTCAGTGGGCCCGCGACGCTGCCTGGCAGTCCTACCGCATATCCCCGGGAAATTCGCTCACCTGTTTCTCAAGAGGACTGTTTCACACTTTCTCCTCTTGCCTAAAATCACCAGCACTTCTCTTTCCCTTTTCAGCTTTTTAAAAATTTGACTGAGAAAATAAAAGAAATATGAAGATAACTTTCACCTACTGCATTCCCAACTCCGCACCGCCCTCGGCCGCGCCCCCCGGTCCCCGCTGCGGCGGAGGAGGCCCGGGAAGCAGGGGGCGCCCCGGCTCCCATCCCCTCGCAGCGGGAGCAAAGCAGCCAACCTTAGAGAGCGGCCACTGTGCGCCAGGCTCAGTTCTAAATACCGCGTGTGTTAACTGACGTAGTCCTTACGACCGCCCCGTGGGGTAGGAGCCTTACGGTTTTACAGATGAGGCGGCCGCATCCAGTAGCCTGTCCGAAATCGGTGCAGGGCGTGACCGCGGCGCGATCCCTCCGCTCTCAGGGCAGCGCCCCCTGCAGCTGCCTCCCCTCTCCCGCGTCATCAGTTTCCCGCTCGCTCCCAGATCTTCCGTCAATTGACAAGCACATTCTAATAATCTCTTCTATTTTAACAGCCTACCCTCGACCTCATATCTCCCTTCAGCTGACCCCAGCGGCCCTCCCTTTTGCAATTTCTCGTGAGAGTTATATTTGCTGTACCCACTAACGTTTTTTCTAATTTTCTTTTCAACCATTCCAGTTCTGCTTTTGTCCCTCCCATTTCACGGAAACAACTTTTGTCAAGGTCACTAATGACCTCCGAAATATCAAAGGCAGAGGTCATGTCCATGCCAGACGGCCATTCTCGTTTCTTTTTTTTATATTAAATTTTATTTAGTTACTTTTCAAGTACATTTTTTTTTAATCTATTTCTCCCATCCCCCCCCCCAGTCCTCATCTCTGTGTCTTTCATACTTGTTCCTCAAAATCCCTCCCCCTTTTCCCCCTTAAGTTCCCTTCCCTCTCCCCTCTGGTCACTGCCCACTTGTACTCTATTTCAGTGTCTTTGTTTTTATTCTGTTTGCTCGTTTGTTTTATTCTTTAGCTTCCTGTCAAAGGTGAGATCATATGGTATTTGTCCTTCAATGCCTGGCCTATTTCACTCAGCATAATGCTTACTCAACCCCTCAGAGCTGTTTTATTCACTGGGCTTCCTCAACACCCTGGTGCCTGGCTCTCGCTCGCCTGCCAGTCACCTCCCTGTCTCCTTTGCTTGGTCTCCCTCTACCGGCCACTTGTAAATGTGCGATCGCCCAGGACTTGGGCGGGGCCCCTTCTCTGTCCCAACACTCTCACTCTCCTGGGGCTCTCAGTCCATCTTAAGGCTTGAAATATTACTTATAAATTGATGACGCCTAGATTGTTGTCTGTACCTTCGACCTTTCCCTGGGCTGCCAACACTTTCATTTGGATGTCATAGGCATATCCATCACACGAGTTATCGTCTCCAATAAAATTCTTGATTTTGCTTTTCATCCTTCAGTCCCATTTTCGGGAAAGTGGGATCTTCCCCCCCCCCCACACACACACACACTCCACATTGTAACCATCAGCAGGGCTCTACCTGCAAATTACATCCCAGAGCAGACCTCCTCTCCCCTCATCCAGGACGATACCCGCACCCCAGCACCATCCTCTGTGCCCTAGGTTTTGAAACAGCCTCCAAATGGGTCTCCCTACTTTGTCTCTCGCTGCGATGTAGCCTGTTTTCCACGCTGCAGCCAGAATCATTTATTATAAATATGTCAGAACTGGCCTTTGCCTATACCTCTTCCTCCTCACTTCCTACGATGCTGCCTGCCCGCCCCCCCCCCCCACTATCCCTTTCTTAGACTACAAATGGACACCTCCGACTCAAGGCTTCTGTCCTTCCTGTGCCTCCGTTTTTCACTGCTGGGACTGCTCTTCTTAAATTAACCCCAATTAAGCAAGAGAATTCATTATTTTGGTATGATTTCTGTTCATACCTTCCCTTATCAGAAAAACTTTCCTTGGTTTCCCCATCAGAAATAGCAGCGCCTGGGAATTTTCCTCTGTTTGCCCGTTTTAATCACAGTGTGATTTGTATCATATTATTTGTCTGTCTTTTTATTTGTTGCCTTGAGTGGCCTATCAGGTCCATGAAGGCGGAGACACTATTGCTCTATCTCTAGCGCGTGGAACTAGGTGCTTAATAAATATTTGTTGAATTTTTGGAATAGTGGCAAGTATTAGCCCTACAAAGTTATAGGATGAGAATGAAGATTAGGTGTAATACCGTTTTAAAAGTAAAAAATAAGTTGTAAATGATGGATGGAAAAGGGTATGTGTGGAGAAAATTGTCTCGAAGCAGCAAACGACAGTCTCGGGATTCCTCAGTGGCTGCAGGAGTCCATCCGTGGTGAGGGCAGGGCCTCACAGGAGTCCTAGAAAACTAAAATTGGTGAAACTAAATGAAATCGGGGATCTCACGTTCCTTAAACGTGCTCCACTTGGAGCATTGAAAGTCACAAATTGTGAATTTAACTCTTACGATGATAGTAATGAAAGTGACTTTTTCAACCCTTTCCAGTTGGACTAGAACGTTGATGTACCTAATTGTTTCCAGCGTCCTGGGTTGCTCTTCCCTCTATAGAGAACAGTGTCAGAGTGGACTTCTGTCCCTCTCAACTTGACGTGGTTGTGAGTTCTGCTCACTGATGCAGGAGAATGATAAGAAAACTGTGCAAACCTAAGGAATTCTCTTATTCATCGTTATAAGGTATAAAGGGATAGGGACACTCTCTTTAAATTCTGTTATCATTTCAGTGTGCTTTTCAAAGGATGAATCTTTAATCACCTCCAGAAAATGGGAAAGAGTTCTTTCCTACCCTTGTACATATAGATACAATTAAGAAAAATTCATATTACCTGATCTTTGACTCTGAATAAACATGCTACATAATAATTACCTGACATAACTGTGATTTTAAAAGTTTCAAATGTAGGTGAGTGCTGGGTACACATCAGTAGATAAGTGGAAAAAGGCTGTGGTACATTTACACAATGAAAAAAAGAAGGAAATATTACCCTTTGCAAAAACATGGATGTACCTGGAGAGTATTATGCTAAGTGAAATGAATCAGTCAAAGAAGAACAAATGTTATGTGGTTTCACTTATATGTAGAATCTAATGAACAAAATAAACTAACAAAATAGAAACAATTGAGTTCTGGTCTGCAAACCAAAGAAACAAACTCATAGATGCAGAGAACATACTGACAGCTGTCAGAGGGGAGGGGTTTGTGGAGCTGGGTGAAATAGGTGAGGGGATTGAGCAAAAATAACCCCTCATAGTGCGGTGATTACCAGAAGGCAAGGGGCGCAGAGGAGGTAGAAGAGAGTAAAGGGAAGGTGAATGGTGACGGAAGGAGACTTGACTTTGGCTGGTGAGCGCACAACGCGATATGCAGATGATGTGTTATAGAATTGTACACCTGAAACCTATATAATTTTGTTAACCAATGTCACCCCAATAAATTCAATTAAACATTTTTTTAAATGGTGGGCACAAAATTCCACAAAACTCACATTGCCCAATTTGGCTATACAATTTGTTTTTAAAGGCATGATTTACATGATTATTTTGTAGTGTTTGGTTCATTGTATAAGATTCCTTTGCAATTGCTAGATTTCTTCATGTTTCTCACTGATTTCTTTTTATCCAGAGGGAGAAGAAGATGAGGATGAAGAGGATGAGGAGGAGGAAGATGAAGAAGAGGAAGACGAGGAAGAAGATGAAGAAGATAAAGATGCAGACTCCCTGGATGAAGGCTTGGATGATGACGCTGAGCCGCGTGGTTTTACTCTCCCTGGCATCACGTCCCAGGAACCTGGCTTGGAGCCGGAAAACGTGGACCTTCTGGAGGGAGCCACCTACCAGGGGCCAGACAGCATCGAGTGGGAACAGCAGAATCAGGGCCTGGGTAAGAGTCACGAGTGCTTCCCTTCCCCTCCTCCGTCCCTTCCTTTTATTCTTCTAAGGTGACACTGAGCAAAGTGGATTTTCTGTTTGTGTTTATGGATGGTGCATTTGGGAGAAAGTTCTCAGTTTTTTCTTCCATATGTTTGTATTGAATAACCAGGCTCTTAAATAACCAGGCTCCGGTCTCCAGCTGCCCGCTGAGATCATGGACACCTCATCTTTGGAAGGAATTCCGTCTTTCTTTCCCTGCTGGAGGAAAGAAAGCTGTGGGCTTTGGGAAGACTTCCAAATGCGGAGGAAATGTGTGTAACGAGTATGCTTAACAAGTGGTGTGAGTGGTCTGGAATCAGAAAAGAAATGCATTTTGTCATCCTTTGTCCCTTTAGAATTTGCTCCTGAGGGGGAGATTCTAGTCCGATGACTTGTCTGTTCATTTCATTGTCAAATGCAGTCCGAGTTCAATGGCAGTGTGCAGACTACCCCATGCCCACCCTCTCTCGTGCACGGCCCGCATTTCCTGTAGAGACTCCATGGGTGCGGGCTGACCCTGACTCAGCGTCTCTTCCCTGTCAGCAGGGAAGCTCCCCTGTCTGTTTCCTCTTGGCTTTTTTGGAAGAGACACTGTCAAGTTCTGGGTGATTCCTTGAGGCCTCACTCTTTTCACCTGAGGTCAAGTGATATATTCTCCATAGAAATCCCCCCTCTCCGAATTCCCTTGGTCTTTAACAGGTAGGTCCATTTATAATCTTCAGTGTAGCAGAAGTCAGGTTTAAGAGTCATATCACTGGTTTTGGGGGATTTCAGTGAAAATGTGGATGTTGGTCTGGGACCTCACTCTGGAATATCCTACTAGTGTGTCTTGGTGCCTGACTGAAACTTTTAATTTGTAATTCTATTATAGCAGATTTCTTAAAGATCACTCTCTTCTTCTCCCATGAAAAGATTTTTTTTTAGATCTTCTTTAAGCTCAAACAGGAATTGGTAAAACCTTTCAAGGCTGGCAGTCTAAGGAAGAATCCTTTTGACAATCTGCACAACTAAAGAAACATGAATGAGAATGTTTAAAGCCATTTTTCTCCTTTATAGAAGTCTTTGATGAACTGTCTTTTAAATTTGGTTAATCAATTTTTCTAACAGACCAGTTTTGCACTTACCACGTTCCTGGAACTGTGCATGGCATTTGGAACACAGAGAAAAACAAGGCAGTACCTTTTCTGGATTCGAGCAGAGCCTACTTTATGAAGGCCTCAGTGCAGGGAGGGTTTCTGTGCTAAGTGTGAGCTGTAAGAGGGCAGAGCAGAAATGCAGAAGAGGGTTATTATATTAGCTTGGCGTGTGCAGAGCTGGCCCTTGGAGGATATGTAGGTAGGAGACAGCTTGCAGGGGAAGGAGGCCAAAGAAGGGCTATGCACAAAGGCATTGGAGGGACAGAAGCATGGCACACAAGGATGGGTTGCTTTGTGTCAGGTTTGTTCTTATTATAATAACTTACCATTTCTCCAAATGTCTCTTACCGTTTAATGTCACTTCTTTTCCTGAAAAATTCATTTTTTCCACACAGTTTTAGCATCATGGGTTTCCTGGGAACCAAAACAAGGAACACATCTTGCAAGCTGTTCTTTTTCCCACTGTGGGAAGGCTGTGGTTGAGTTGTGTTTGGGACTGAAATTTTATTAGCTCATCAAATTTTCCTTGAAGTGTCAAGAGTATCTCTTCATAAATGAAAGCCAGTAACAATTTCTGAATCAATATTAATTAACATGGTTTCCTAAATACTCTCAGATAGATGAAATGAAGGAAAAGCTCTCCTCTTTGTGATGAATTTTATGGTAGGTAGAATAACAGCTCCACAAAGGTGTCTATATCCTAGTCCTTGGAATCAGTTACTGTGTTTATCTTACATGGCAAAAAGGACTTTGCTGATGTGATTAAGTTAAGGGTCTTGAGATGGGGACTTCCTCCTGGATGATCTACGTGGGCCCAGTATAATCATAAGTGTCCTTAAAAGGGGGAGGTAGGAAGGTCAGAGTCAGAGAAGGGGATGTGATGGTAGGCAGGGGTCAGAGAGATGTGGCCACGAGCCAAGGAATGCTGGCAGCCTCCAGAAACTGGAAAAGGCCAGGAGGTGGATTCTTTCCTTGAGCCTCTAGAAGGAACACAACCCTGCTGACAGCTTGACTTTAGCCCCTCAAGACCTATTGCAGATTTTGACCTGCAGAACTGTAAGGCAATGAATTTGTCACTGTGAGTCACTAAGTTTCTGGTAATTTGTTATAGCAGAAACGAGGAACCAATACAGCTTCAATGAGTATTTCATAAGCAGCATAATTTTAGAGAGTAGAATTGCATGGCAGCTGTAGTCAGAGTGTGAACATTGTAAAATTAAGTAGTTTTTCCGTAATGAGTCATTAAAAATGCAAGCATTGAGATCCTTGAAAAAGTAAACCTATTTAGTATAATAACACTTTAATTTGCCATCTTCTTTATTCCTATTTTTAAGTGGGTTATTTTTATAGATTATTGCATTTTATTTTACAATATGAATACTATTCTAAAGCAAATGCTAACATTCATATAAACTGAAGAATGGACAGATTGAAGTGGGTAGCTAGAATTGGCTAAAAATAATGCAAACCCTTTGAATAGATTATAGTCTCGTCTTCTGTGGAGAGCAGAAAACTTAGATGACTTTCTGAGATGAAGTTGTAGATTCACAGACTGAAATTCTCATTGTCACATACACATTGCCTCAAATGCTTTGGAAAGATGGAGCTCAGCTTCTTGTCTGTGGAATGAACTGTCTTGTCAGGACAGAGAGAATCAGGAGTGGAAGTTCCGTGTTACAGGTGAGGTGGACTGATTGATTGGTGAAATGTCGGTACTGTACGAAAAGCTCTTTATTCACATGTGCAGAATCAATTTCTTTTCTGACCTAATAAGTTCATTTTCCGACTTTACTGGCAAGAACCTGTACAAAGAGCATATGCTTGACTCACACCACTTTTTATCCTGTTACTACGATAAATCACACACTTACCTTTTTTTGAAGTGTAGAATCAACATCACCAAAGTTGAGTCAACATACCATTTTACTGTTTAAACGTTTCCAATGTAATTCATACCAGGAGAGTCTTTCCTTGTGGGTACTCTACAACTGTTAGGAGGCCTTGAGCTACAAGTAGCAGAAACCTTAACTTAAATTGGTTTAAAGAGTAAAGAAACTCATTTCCTCTCAAAGCAAGAAGTCCAGAGGTAGAGCTCCTGTGTGGTCCTCTCCGGTGCGCTAACTTCGCCTCCAGGCTGGCCTCTTTCTACAGGGCTGGGCATTAGTGGTAACGGTTGTTTATGTGGAAAATAATACTAATTAATAAGCAATGACACAAGAGTAAACTATGTTTCGTGTACTCACACATGTAAAGCTACTTTTGCCCCACCCTGCAGTGGCGATGTCACGCCCAGACAAGACACTGGAAGACTGTCAGAGTCTTCATCATGTTTCTTTCTCAAGAGAGAGGAGGCTTTCTCAGAATCCCTCTGTGGAGTTCTTCTTGCTTCTAATTGGCCAGGATGAGGTCACATAGAAATGACACTAGGTGGCAGAGGGAATTCGATCACAGCATTGGCGGAGTGGATGGGGCGGGTTTCGCCCGTGATTGCTGTTATCTTCTCTTGTAGAGGATACTTATGCATGCCTCTTCTATCCTCTAGGAATCCTATGAGCAATCCCGTGAAATGGATGTCTTTATTTTAAGTATGTTTGGAGATCGTGAGTTCTGGGTGAGGGTCGGCGGGTGCCATGGTTCCCTTTTCTTCCTCGGGAAGAGACCACATTTGGACACTTTACAGTTTGATGTTCTGAATGACTAACTTTTCCGAAAGCTATCGATTAGTTAAGTGCAGAATTTTCATAGCTGCCTTTACTCTTTTTCAAAAGCCTACATCTAACATTGGAATGAACTCTTAATTTAGAAAGTAAAATATTTTTCTCTGAGGTCTTTAACAAACCTGATAAATATTCAATTCATGGCCTAAGGATGTTTGTGGAAAGCAAAAGAATGAAGAGCTCCCGTGTATCTATTTTTTAAATCACACGTTCGTTGGGTACGTACAAGTGTGTGCTGTATGTTGTGGAAATACCTCGAGGCTGGCCTGTACAGAGGTAAATTCCCATGGGGCAGAGACTGGATCGCAGATGTGCAAGGTCAGGGGCCGAGCAAGTCCACGGTAGGGAGCTGAACCATCACTTATAACCAGGGGTTGCTTTGAGTGAGCAGCCCTCTATCAGGTGTGACTTCAGGGGTGCTTTGCCCAACCCCCTGATTTTTATTACTCTTCCTGCCTTAACATGGTACCTGCTTTTCAGTATCAGAGCCTTCCTTTGGATTGAGATGAGACCATATCCAACAATACATCCTTGAGATGTATCTTGAGAAGGCCTTAGAAAAATACAGATCTGCTAATAACCCATTAAGATACCATTTATGTAGTATTATTAATTTATCAGATTCATTAGCTGGTGATTTAGCTAATGACTTTAAGATTAAAGGGAGGAACTCAAGAGAAATGTGAAGGTAGGATGAACTGCAGGCAAATGGTGTGCTGTTTGGGCCTTACAGAAACCGAGGACTTGACTGTGAGAAAGTCAGGCTCTTAGCTCTAAAATGCATCAGTTCTTTTCTTTCTCCTCCTCCTTCTTCTTAGTCTTTTAAAATACTTACGATGTAGCTAAGACTGAACTCTTAAATACAGTTCAACATGGGCGGTGGCAGTTGAAACCCACCCAGAAAAACAAAAGCGAAAACAAACAAAAAAGAGATGCTCTTCAGAGAGATAGAGGGAACTGTGAGGTTTCAAAGGACTTTTCATTGCAACAAATGTCAGTGTATTTTGATGTATAACATATTAAGCTATGGATTAAAAGGTTGTTCAGGAACCTACTGGGCTAATGTAATGAAATCTACATGAATGTACAGGACAGGAGGGAATAAACCCTAATCCAGT